TGGCTGCCAATTGCCGTTGTGTTCGCCCTATGTACTTGCATCCGCAAGTGTATGTATATTCGTAAACAACATAAGAAGTGGCGTACAACGGCAAGGCATCCTTCGCTGTTGGAATCGGAAGGGACTTCGTAGAATTGCAAAATACGAGCTCAGCTGTGAAGTTAGTCCTTTCGGTGATGTTACGTAAGCGTCTCTTGATGGGGTTTAAGGTGTTGTCACCCTTAAAGGGCAAGGAAATGAAAACAGGCTTTTTTGGAGCTGGCCGTTCTATAACCTTTTGCCCTAAGGGTTTGCTTTACTTGTCAATAAAGTGAGCAGGGTAAGCACGCTTGAGAAGAGTTTTCTTGAGGCTGGCAATTTCTCCATCCAATGTATCCATTGATCAGATTTTGCTTGTCCTCTGAAAAAGGGTGCAAACTAAGCTACTTTTCCATTGTATGGGGACAAAAGTAAGATAATGCAAGTACTGCCCCTTGTGGGACAATCTCCGTGTAATAGAACGGCCTCTCTGTCTGGACATGTGAACGTCAAGGAAAGAAATCTGGTCCTCACGTTCTACTTCCATCGTTAATGTTATTTTCGGGTGCAGACTGTTCATCGTAAATAGTAGTTCTTCGGCTTCCACTATTGTTTTCAACAATTGCAGGGATATCATCTACATACCTTCTGTAGAGTGTTGTCCTATTCAATGTTGAAGATACTTTTTCTTCAAGATGACCCACAAATATGTCTGCAAGGGTAGGACCAAGGGGACTACCCATTGCCACTCCGTCACCTTGTCTATACTGTCGGTCAGTATATAGGAGTTGCACATTCTTTGTGCACAATTGCAGTAAGTCTCGTAAAAAATCCGGGGAAGGCGAGTTTTGGAAGCATATGCACAAATGATATCAATTATTTCATCCAGATGTACGTTGGTAAATAATGACTCAACGTCCAGGGATATCATATATTTGCCAGCAATATTATGATGCCTAATTTCATCGAAAAAGTGAAAACTGTCTCTCAGTGCATATGTAGAGAATCTTTTGCGATTGATTCTAGTTCCTTAACTAGCCAAAGCGCTAGTCTGTGATATTGGTGCATTGGACATGGAAGGAACAGGTCGCAAGGTGATACCCGTTTTATGAGCTTTAGGTAAACCGTATAGTCGCGGAATATGGGAACCCCAGGATTTTAAGGATGGGGCTGTTTTGGTATCCAACAAATTATTATCCAGCAAAAACTTGATAGTTTTCCAGGCGGAATCTTCCAATGCCTTGGTTTTGTCTTTGCCTTGTGGAACTAGACCAAATTTCTTAGAATCATTTAATCTATTTTCCATTTTCTTGACATAACCCCTACGATTGAGGATAATAACGCCACGCATTTCGTCAGTTTCAGAAATTACTATTTCTCTGCGGTCTTTTAGAGTGGATAGAGCAAGTAGATGCTCGTTAGTTATGGGTGTGCGTTGCGATATTGGAGCTCGACGGTACTGGTGAGCGATGTCCACAAACTTAGCCTTCAACCAACCCAAGTCCTTCGTAGATCTGGGTTTCAAGTCCGATAGTAGAGAGTAGAGGTTCTAAAATTGTGCTTCCACTTAAACTGGGTTAATTTTTTCGGTCGGCACACGGAAATCGAGTCCCAACGAAAGGGTCTCTGCTTGCAGCTTGTTAAGTTTAATATCGTCGAGCTCCAATATCGCAACGCACACCCATAAGTAAGGGGCATCTACTTGCTCTATCCGCTCTGAAACACCGCAAAGAAATAGTCATTTCTGAACCTGAAAAAGGGCATGGCGTTGTTATCCTCAATTGTAGGGATTATGTCAAGAAAATGGAAAATATATTAAATGATTCTAAGAAATTTCGTCTAGGACCACAAGGCAAAGACGAAACCAAGGCATTGGAAGATTCCGCCTGGAAAACTATCAAGTTTTTGCTGGATAATAATTTGTTGGATACCAAAACAGCCCCATCCTTAAAATCCAAGGGTTCCCGTATTCCGCGATTATACGGTTTACCTAAAACCCATAAAACGTGTATCCCCTAGCGACCTATTCCTTTCATGTCCAATTCACCATTTCACAGACTAGCGCTTTGGCTAGTAAAGGAACTAGAATCAATCGCAAATGATTCTCTACATATACACCGAGCGACAGTTTTCACCTTGTCGACCAAATTAGGCATCACAATATTGCTGGTAAATATATGATATCCCTGGACGTTGAGTCATTATTTACCGACGTACCTCTGGATGAAACAATTGATATCATTTTTTCCATGTTTCATATTTCACCAGTAGAGGGTAGGGAACGGATGCATGGAAACCCGTCCTTTGCAGCCACCGGACATT